GGGGCTGGTGCTGGGAAGTTGGCCCTTATGGACCTGATCTGTCTGTGACACCTTCCGCTCCTGCCCCTCCATGTGGACAAGAACAAGTATTCCCTTCCCCAGCCTGCTCCCTCTGAAAAAAAATTCTCTTCCTATTTACTATGCAACAGGTGCTCAACGTGGGCTTCTACCGCTCTTTGGGAAAGGAGAGGGCTAAGCAGGACACAGCCCAGAGCTCAGCACTGCCCTAGCCTCCCACCCTCACCTCCCAAGGCAAGGGCCGAACCCAACGGTCTGGCTGGGGACCCTCACCAGCCTCCCCCACCACGGATACAGGTGGCACTTCCGGAGGCCCAGAGGGGGCAGACATGACGTCCAAGGTCACACAGTGAGTCCAGACCACATGGCCTGCTCCTCACGCCCTGGAGAAAGAAAAGGCAGCCCAAAGTGGGGAGGGTCGTGCCCCACCTGGAGTGGGCCTTGATGACCTTGACGTCCCCTTCCCACCTTGAGATATTTAACAATTCTTCCAGGGTTTCCCCAAGGAGGCCTATTCACACGGGCGGGCCATCTGATGGAGCGCCCCTGGGGGGTGTCTCCTGCAGCCTCCTGGGAGGTGTGTGGCACTGGACAGGGAGGTCCATTTACCCCACACAAGAAGGAAGAGCCGAGTAACCCACCCTGATGGGCAGTTCCTCCACTGGGGGTCGGCGCCAGGGTCTGGCCGAGGGGCTGGAGCCAGGCTGCGGGAGCACAGAGCCCAGGATCTGCCTCCCTCCGCCAGGCTGCCTGTCTCTCGTCTCCTCCTGCTCCAGCTTGGCCGAGCCAAGCTGCCAAAGGCCAAAGAGCACCATGAACTCATAAGAGTGACCCAAATAATTTATCTTCTTTTCAAGAAAAACAGGCCCTGCAAGCCTGTGGGTCCCCAGGACAAGGGACCATCAGGCAGATAGACTGGACTTCGGTTTGGTTGGTGAGGACTCCGCCAGCAGCTCCCAGCCTGCTGGGCCCTGGCCCTGGTGGTCACCGCTGTGGCCTCCTGCACCCCCGCCCCGTAGGGAGCTGCAAGGAGCTCGCGGTGCTGCTGCTGTTCTGAGGCGGGAGCGTCTCCTGCCTTTGCTTGGGTTTTATAGAGAGCGAGTCGGCTGGACAGGGACAGACGGGGGGCTGGCGGCTGAGGGTGAGGGTAGAGCCAGTGGTGCGGTGCCCCGGCTACAGGCAGGCTCCAGGGCTGGGCTGTGTGTCGGCTTGGGCAGAGTGGGTGGAAGGCTCAGAGGGGGCTGGGGCCGGGGCCTGGTGGGTCCTGCGTTGCCCTGGTTGGGGGAGGAATGGGTCACTGCAGGGAATTACAGCAAGTGGGAGGCGCCAGGACGTGGGGAGTTTCCTCTGACTTTTGGGACTGTCTGAGGCTCGGCCTGCTCTAGCACATTCTCCAGCCCCCTCCGTCACCGCCACCAGGTTATTACCTTGACCTGACGCACACCTGATGTGGCTGGATGACTGGGCCGGGGGGCTGCGGCCCCTTCTCGCACCCCTCCCCTCCTTTCCCCTCCCCTCCCCCGTGCCCGTCTCCAGCCCTCCCCCGTTTTACGCGCCTCCTTCCGCCTCCTTCCTTCCCTCTCCCTCCTTCCCTGACTTGGACAGACTCGGAGGCCAGGCGTGTGCCGGGCGGGATCGCGCGCCCGCTGGGGTGAAATCAAAAGAAAAGCTTTGTTAAAGCCCCTTCCGCGGAAAATGGGGTGGATGTGAGCGGCGCCGGCCTCTTCCTGCTGGAATGGGAATTAGCGGCGAGGATTATTTTGAGGACGCGGGGTCCCATTGTGCCCACACGCGCCTCCTCCTGCCCGGCTCCGCGGGGTTCGCGGCGCATGGACCCCGCCCCCAAGGCCTCAGGTGGGCCGGGGGCTCCGGGAGGCCGCCGCCGCCCTGCGTCCCAGGAGAGCAGTTCCCGGTGACAAGCCCGGGCTCTGCAGGAACCCCACAGCAGTTGTGCGTCTTGGAGTGGAAAGCGCGGCGCCTTCATCAGGACCGCACGAAGGAGGGGGTGGGGCAGCGGGTCCAGCCTCACCGGGAGCCCGCCGGGTCTGGCAGGCAGTGGCAGAGGAGAGTCCCGCTTTCTATCTAAGCCTCCCTGTGCCAAGCAGGCCCGAACCCGACCTTTGGAACTTGCTTTCTAGAAAGGGCAGCACCCCGGGGGTCCGTGCTGTGGGCATGATAGTCTGTCAGGTAGGGGGGAGGGGAGGGGACACTCTGGGGAAGCCACAGGGGGTCTCTCGGTATCTCTGGGATGCTTTCTGGTGGGGTGTCTCCTCTAATGAAAACCATCTTGGGCCAGATTCTGAGGAGCTGGCAGCCCCCCAACACAAACAGACCTTGGTGTCCTGGATCAGCTTCAGGTGCCTGATGGGGTGGGAGGGTCGGTGCAGAGGCTCAGAGGCCAGGCCAGTTCCCTGAACCAGCAGCTGAATTTCAGACTCCGGGGTCCCCAACCCCTTGGGAGACACTGGGACCGTTTTGGGGCTGCCCTGAAGGCTCCAGAGGGTGGAGGGGAAGGGCACGGTGCTTTCCCTAACATTCTCACGTCCCCCGGGAGCGGGTGGGTGGCCACCCTGAGGCCACTGCACGGGGGAGGGGACAGAGAGAGGTGGGGAGGGGACAGAGAGAGGTGGGGAGGGGGCAGAGAGAGGTGGGGAGGGGGAGGAGGGGAAGCTGCAGGCAGGAAGTAGGAGGCGACCAGCTCCCGCGGGGCAGGGAGAGGGGGTGCTGTCCCTGCTGTGGGCACCTGGAGTGACACCTGTGGGGGCAGCGCCTCATCTGACCTACGCTAACCAGTAATCTGAAGCCATCTCCTGAGACTCGTCCACCCCGAAAGACCCCATCCTCAACCCCATCAATAGCTCTCGTTGCATTTCCGGCAAAATCTGGAAGAGCTCAGTTCTTTGCCTCACCCTCCCAGGAAACAAGCAGTTCACCTCCCCTGGAATGTCCTCACCCCCTTGCCTGGGTCCCAACACCCTCCCCACCCCCCACCGCACTCCGTCTCAGGCTGGCTGCCTCTGACCCTAAAAGTCCAATTCCGTCTGTCTGCCTGGTTCGGGGGAACTCATCTGTGGCCCAGCCAGGCAGACAGACAGAGAACCAGGCGGGGGGGAACTCCCATCTACATGAGTCAGGGGGCAGAACCTGGGGATTTATCGAACAACCAAGAGGGCGCCTGGGCTGTGAAGAAAGGCAGCACTTGCTCCGAGGAGACTGTTTCAGGAGCTAGACCCCACCCTGCTGGTGGGGTGGGTGGTGGCATTTCCCGGGGGCACCTGGGCTCTTGCCTGGTGGTCTGGGGTCCCTGGCACTTTATTTCTAAAGTTGTCCACATCAGCAGGAGGTGAGTGGAATAGACGGTGGAGGCCAGGTACCTGGAAACTGCTCCAGGGGCTGTGATTGGAGGGTGACCCAGGTGCCACCCACCTGCGATGTGGTCATGGTTGGTTTTATCTGAGCTGGTTGTTTGCTTGCAGAGAGGGAACCCAAAGGCCACATCAGAAAGCAGGCTTCCAGTGCGGCGAAGGCGAGGGCTGGAAAACCTCGCCCACCCCTGCACCCACCTCTGCACCCACCCCCGCACCCACCCCTGCATTTGTGTAGTCCTCACGGGTCCTCTACATCCTAGGCCAGAGGGAGAGGCCCCTTGAGCAGCGGCTCTCGCAACGAAGAGGAAGGCCCCACCAAGGGCACGCACTCAGAACCCCAGAATTCTAGGAGGCAGAGTGGACGGCACCAAGAGCTCAGTGCTCTAGAGTGGGTCTCCCGATGCTCGCTCCGTGGCAGTGCCTCACGTGACCACTGGCGCGTTTGCCCAGTTCTCTGCACTGGAAAAGTGGAGAATGGCTAGATGGTGCCCTCTCCATTAATCTACAAACCTGGATGATATTTATTATCCTTCAGTCTTTATTTTAAACAAGGCTCCCGTCCTTTACCCTTCCAAAGTACTTTTAGACATTTGCCTTCTGCCCAGAATCCTCTGCCCGGTCCCCTGTAGCTAGTGTCCAGACACTGGTCACAGACCTCCACTGAGCCCGAATACAGCAAGACCTCCCATCTCAGAAGGACTTCTTGGCCCTTGCCCATTGCCATCCTCTACTGTTAGATTTAAAAACTGCTAGACCATGTGCCAATTCACCATTGACTTGTAGCCACTAGGACCCTCAGTGTATTTTTCTGTTGTGTTTGTTCATGGCCAGGAATCAATGAACTTTGGGCAGACAATCAGTAGACCTTGGGTGTGGCCTTGGCGAAGGCTTCCCACTTTGTTGACTTGCATGTGCCCCTCTTTGTTGAGGGGGTTTTGAAGCAGCTTCTGCGTCGTGGGGAGCTGGCTGCTGTACCCAGCCTGTGGCCCTGTACCCCTTTTGCACCATCCTAATTTCAACATCCAGATGTCAATTCAGAAAATTATTATATCATTCTCTCCAATCACTCAAAACATAAAATCCCCTCTTTTGTCTCATGTTGAAGAGCTGATGGCATCGGACCTGTCAAATCGGGCCTATTTTCCTAGTCAGAGACTGAATGGCATATTTTCAAAGCACTTCGTCTAAACTGCATGGCACATACCCCAGGAGCCCAAAGATCTGGTTGTTCTCCTGAGATGCAGAGAGGAGGCCCGCAGGTGGCAGAGGGGGAAAGAAGGAGGAGCCATCACTTCTGAAGCATGAGAATGTCAAAATCTAAGTTTTCCATGAGGTCAGCAGCAGGTGTCTCCTAGTCTGGAGAGGGCATGGAAGTGGCCACAGGTCTGGACCTCTCTGGGTGGATGTGAGGGAGAGTAATTGAACTGGAGGAGGGGGCTGGCTTGAGATCTTCCTGTTCTATGTTGGGGGGGATACTGAGGGTCCCCCTCACTGGGACGAGGAGGGGACAGACACAGGTGTGCCCGGGTACCTGAGTCCCAGCCAAAGCGGCAAAGCCAGACGTCCCGGGATTCCTTGGGTTTGGACAAAGGGCGTCCCCATGACGATGAAGAACCAGGAGCGGACAGCCCTGCATCTTGCCTGGGATCCCTTGTACCTCTGGCTCATGGCCTGTCCTGGGCACAGGGAGGAAGGGGGAGACACCCCTAATAACAACAGACTGCACTGGGCTATGGGGGATCACAATGGATTTCAGTTTGATGGAGAGAAAATAAGGTAAGGGACACTTGCTCACCTGAGTCTCTGGAGTAAGAGTCACGCCTTGGAGAAGGAGGGCAGCCAAAGGCCACGCAGAAATTGGGGGTTCAAGGTTTGCCCAGCTGGCCCCAAAGCCGTGGGGGTCCACATGGCCTCACCCAGGGGCCAGCTCATTTGCTCATTTGAGGGTGTGCAGGGCACACATGTGTCTGCCCCGGGAACCCAAGTAGCCCCAGTGCACTCCCGCCTGGCTTCCCTGGAGCGAGCCCACGGTGCCATGGTCCTGGTGGGATGAATGCATGAATGATGAGGACGAAGCCAGAACAGGGCTGCACACAGGATGCTCTCTCATGAACGAGGACCCCAAAGAAGCTCCCCTCTGGAGCCTGTGCGGCTGCTTGAGGTGTAAACACTGAGTCACGCCCACTGCCCAGCTGTGTGGCAAGAGCACTCCCTAGGCACTGAGCAGGCACCGCCAGCCCCGAGGGCTGTGGGACAACAGAGAGCTGGGCCCCTGAAGACGGTGGCCCACCAGGTGGCACCTGTGTCCCCTTGACCGGTGTGGGTGACTACACAGTTGTCATTTACAGGGGAAGTAGGGCACAGCAGAGGCGAACATGAGGATGATGCTGCCTGTCTGGGCCTACCCAGGGAACCAGCTGCCAGACAGATTGGAAGGGACCTTCCTGGTGGGACAGGTCCAGTTGGTGGCCTGAGGTGGAGTCGTAGTGGGCCTTGTCCCCCTGCAGGGCTGACCCGTGAGGGTGGGATCATCCTCCCTGAGGAGCTGCCCTGTCCAGTCCCATTGCCTTGAAGGTGGTGACAGCAGGGTCCCCTGAGTCACCAGGCTCCCCCGTCTTCACTTGGCCACCATGGCTGCTGCAGAGTCCACGGTAAGAGCCAGGACGTGGCTTCCAGGCAGGATGGGGAAGCACCTCCCAGTCCCACATGGACAAAGATTTCTTTAAACGGAGCCACCAGCCATGCCTGGTAGTGGGTGCCCTCCCTAGGCAGGCAGTGCTGGCTCTGCTGTCTTTCCTGGGGGAAGCCCACTGCGCTTCCTGGGGCCTGGCCCGTGGTACCTGCCCAGTCAGCCTTGGGAGGGGCACCCCTGGGCTTGTGGAGAGGAGGTGATGAGGCACTCAGATGTCTAGGCCAAGGCCAGGTAGGTGGCAGGTGAGACAGGCCCTTCAGACATGAGACCCCAGTGATGCAGATAAGAGTTAACTCATGTTCCCCTCCAGCCTCCCGCCAGGCAAAAGGGGAAAAGACACACACGGAACCACAGAAAACAGCCGGGAACCCCAAAGGGTGCTTGATGAAGAGCTGGAGCTCCCCCCTACCCTCCATGCTCCCGGAGGACCAGAAGACCCGCTCCATGGGTCAACCCGCCTTTGCCCATCCCTCCCCTGACCCCTGCTGCACGGTTCCAAGGGCTTGGTGGGGCAGCCTGAATGTTCCCTAACTCCCACTCCTAGCAAGGTTAAATTCACCTTGTTTGCCTCCTTAAAAATTCACAAATGCAAGACTGAGGCTTTTCCTGAAACCAGAGCCCCGGCAGCCAAGGCGCAATAAAATGCTGTTTGTGTTTCCAGGCACTGGGGCGGGAGCGAGGCTCCCAGTTGCTCAGTTAACCGGTCCTTTCCCGTGTGAGACCCCGCGAGCACTCGTCAATTCTCCCATCGCTGCCTGCTGGGGCCCGGGGTCCAGAGCTGCTCTTCCTCCTCGCAGCCCACCCTGCAGGCCTAGTGCTGTCCAACCACAGCCCAGAGGGCAAGGCCTGCTAGAGCGGGCGCTTGCTGAGTCCCTGGCCAGTCTCCCGGGACCCTCGGTCCCCACAGCCCCCATCCAGCTCTTTTACACCTTCCCCTCCTCCATCTCGGAACACGGGAGAAGCAGGGCACACTGGAGTCTGCAGGCTGCCCTTGGGCTGCCATGGGGCCCTCTTTGCCCAGCACAGAGCCTGCCGTGCTTCGAGCCAGCAAGTCCCACCGGACCTTCTAGAGGCACTGTACAGCGTGCATCTGTTTTCAGGACAGTTTTATTTGCTGTGGAATCCATGAGAGCCGGAAGCATTGTTGGGGCCGTGGCTAGCAGAGCTCATGGTGACCAGTCCTGGGCCTGACCAATGGGCGATTACATTTAAAAACCAAACCAAAACAAAACAAAATACCAAGAACAGATCACTTGCCATGGACATCAGTAATCTATTGGTAATGGTGGAAATTTCATGAAAATTTCCCCTAAACCATAAGAAAAACTGTCCTTCTTACCCCGAAAGTGCTGGGGGAAAGATGGCTGCGTGACTCAATCTCTCCTGGAACTTGAAATGCTACCTTCCTACCTGGAAACGCAACACAATATACTTAAAAGGCCAGACGGCTGAAGGCTGTTTGCACTCCTGGCTCTGCTCAGGGACACCCCTTTCCCGGTTCTAATGTTCAGACCCGGGAAGCCAGAGTCTGCAGCCTGAGGGAGCTTCAAGGCCGAGGGGTAGGACCTGCAGGGCCCACACCACCCTTCTGGTGGAGAGCTTTGCACGTGCATTCACGCGCTCATGCCTGGCGGGATGGCTGAGGATGTGTCTCATGGCACGAGTGGGCAAAACGGGGTGCATTTTACAGAAGAGTCACAGAGAGGCTCGCCCTTGGTGGAGGACACACAGCTGGGTGGGTGTGTGCAAGGGAGTGCAGGTGTGCTGACTCCGAACCAGGGGAGAGCTCTCCGTCCTGAGCTCGCCGCCCCTCACGATGCACACGGCTGATGGCTGAGGTCAGCGGTCTCTTCCCTGAGTGCAGGTGTGGTCCCTGGGACTTCATAAACCATCCTCATGACAGTTTTACACTTAAGAGTCCCCACTGCAGTCCCAGGAGGTGGCCTGGGCAGGCAGGCATCGTTGTTCTCGTTACAGGCTGGAAACTGAACCTGAGGGAGGCAGAAGGCCGCACACCCGGGGAGAGTCCGCAGGCAGCAGGGGCCAGGCCCCTTCCACGGCACCGCCTCTCACCCCGGCCCCACCACCCCCGACCAGCCCCCAAGGGCATGCCTCTGGCTTCACGAACCTTCAGGGGAAATTAGCTTTCTAGTTTGGGGGCAGTTCCCTCTGACTGGAGACAGGGCAGAATGCTTTCAAACCCAGAATGGCCATGCAGCCTGGCTTAGAAACAGGGGACGAAGTGGATCCTGAGGCTCATTCCCCAGGGACTCCAAGAATGGGGCAGGCCCAGCTGGGCAGCCAGTCCTGGCCCCACTGACCTAGGCTGCACCCCTGCACGTGTGTGTGTGTGTGTGTGTGTGTGTGTGTATGTGTGTGTGTTTCCCAGGGGACCTCTCCTCCTTCCTCTGAGGCAAAGTGCCTTGCAGGGGCCTCTGCAGAGCATACAGGGAGGTGCTTCCTTCCCTCTGCCCAGCGAGCCGAGGGTGGAGCCCTGGCACCCCCAGCACCCCCGCAGGGGAAAGGAGAGGCTGCACAAGGAGCGAGATTTCCTTCCCCAGAGGGCATGGCGTGAGCAGATTCCCATCATCAAGTGGCTGTGCCCCAGAGCTATTTCTGCCAAACAAGAAGCAGATGAGGGGGCTCGGGGGGCGGACCTTACAGGAACGGAAGCACCACCCCACCCACTGTGGTCTACAGCCCGCACCCCATTTCCTGTTGCCACCCCACCTCTATTCCCAGTGGCCTCCAAAAGAGCTGGGCAACCTCTGCTAACCACTGGCCCTTAGCCCAAGGGGAGGCCTGTTCCAGAACCAGCATCTTCATCTTGTCCTGATGCCCTGCCCGCCCCTGCAAAGCTTCAGACTGGGCTGCTACGGAAAACTGAAAGGTCAGAGGATGGAGGTCCTCTCCCTCCTGGACATGGAAACCTCCCCCCGCGCCCGACACTTTGGCTGGTCAGGAACAGTGGCTGCTCATGGAGCTGCCCCTCCCACCTTCAGACCCTCCTCCTCCTCTGCAGGGGTGGGCTGGGGCCCTCCCTTCCTCCCTACTTGGTCCATGACTTGTGAGTTCTGAGTCCTAGGGGCTGAGACTTGAGTCAGAACCTTCTGGAGCAGAACACAATTCCCCTCTGCACCTGGTGAGGACACCAGGCTCCTCGCTTCCTCCCCAGATCTCTCTGAGAGCTCACCCGACCCCCCAACCCTGGCAGGACCTTCCAGAGCCGGCAAGCATCGAGCCTGACCACGCGGCCTCTTGGGTGCCAGCACGCCCACATCAAAGGTGCCCTCTCTTCCCAGAGGCCCTGAGCAACATCGGGTAACGCTGTCAGCACAGACATTAGCAGCAGGGCCGTAGCACGCGTCAACTTTTAAGTATGCGCACACACGTACACCAGCCAATAACATTAAGTGTCATTTTAAAAAATGGGTTAAATAAGCAGCATTGCTGAGGATGGCCGTGCAGGGCTGATTATCCCCTATTTGCACGTTCTGGCGGTGGGAAGGCTAGAAGTCTAATGACTGAATTATCGCCCTAATGCCTCTCGCTGGCTGGGAATAATCCCGGGGCAACAGCTGCCGCAGGGTTTTTGGCTGGTTTCCTCTAATTGCATCCAGATTAAGGGAGTTGCGGAGGGGCGGGGCTTCTCCATCCCCCCGAGCAGCGTCTCCTCCACCAAGCCCTGAACATCCAGGTCACGGCTTCCGAGGTCCTGGCAGGTGGGAGAGGTGCAGACCTCACTGGGGTCCCGGCCAGCCCATGGGGAGCGTGAGGTGCAAGCAGTGCACGGCGGGGGTGGTACTTGGTGCAGAGATGCAGCTGACTGGTCTGGGTCAGGTCTTGGGGAGCAGCAGGAGTGAGAAGCTGTAGGGCCAGGAGGCTCAGAAGGAATGCCTTCTACTAGGACCTTCCTAAGTGAGGGGAGCCCTGGACCTGCCTACCCTCTTCCTCCCTCCCAAACACAGCAGCTCAAAGGCACGAGGTATCTAGTGAAATGCTAGGATCAGGAACGCTGTTCTCCTGGAGAGGGTGAGTGGGGAAGGAGTGCTCCAAAGCAGGCATTATTAGGACACAGACTCTCCAGAGTCCCAGTTCTTCAGCTCTCCAAATTCTCAGCCTACTGCCACCCAACTGTGCAGAGGGGATGCTAAAGTGGCAGGTCTGTCCCCCACCCCTTAATGCTGAGCCCAGCCACGTGATTTGCTGTGGCCAAGGGGAGGGCTGCAGGTGCGGTGTCTGCCTAGGCTTGGAAAGGCACTTGCCGTCTCTCCCTCCTTGCCTTTGGCTCTGCCATGGCTGGCCTGCGGGAGGGATGCAAGAGACCACAGAGCAGGGCCAGGTCTGACCTCTGCACCATAAGCAGCCCCTGGGACTTAACAGCCCACTGGCTCTAAACAAGCAAGCTCAGCCTAGACCAGAAGAATCACCCCACCCCAAACTGCTGACTCCTGCTCCAGATCAGTGCTGATTGTTGCAGGCCACGGAGCGTTGGGGGATTTGTTACACAGTATTGCGGTGGCAATGGATATAACTGGTTTCCAGCAGAGGGTCAGGGCAGAAGTTCTAACCGCCGCCCTAGCCCACAAAGGCAACCCTCACTTCGCAGAAGCAACGTGGATGAGAAGCCCACCCCACTCCCACTGCAGGACCCCCTACTGCTAGGCAGAAATGGTCGGTACCCCAGGACGGGGGCACTGACTCCCCAAAAGGCTCTTGGGCAGACAGACCTGGGAACTTGGAAGTGCCTGCTGGAGGACCTGGGTTCATGGAGAAAAGAGAAGCCGAGGAGGAGGAGGAGTGGTGACCTCCTCTTTCCTGCTGAGAAACACTGCTTTGAAGTGGCATGGCCCAGCAGTGCCCACCCTCCAGGGAGAAAAGCTTCGAGTGGGAAGAAGCCCTCGGTCCCGGTCCCCATGATGGTTCTCAGCACATCAAGGGCTCTTCTCCCCAGAAGGACGCGATGGAGGATTTCAGGAGGGATTTGGTCTTCTTGCTGAAGGAGTGGCTTTCTGTGCAGATGGCTCGACACTTCTAAGCTGGCTGGGAGGGAACTCTCACAGCATAGATCCCACGCTCTTGTCTGTCCATCTCTAAATCCCAGAAGGAGCAACTGATAGACAATCTTTTGGAGTAGGGAAGAGTCTGTTGGGAAGACCTCACTCCCACATAGAAAGCGGAGAGCCCTGAGTGCCGACTCCTTCACTGGTCGCTCTCATGTCCGATCACCTGAGCAGCTGACTCACACATCTGAGTTCACAGGTCCTGCAGGAAAGTGGAAGAGTCTAACTACTTCCAGGTGTCCTTGTCTTGGTTGGTCAGCTAATAGACTACCGTGTCCCTGGGACAAGGCAGATCATCGTCAGAGGACCTTGCAAACACAAACCCGCATGCATGCACGCACGCAGGGACACACGCACACATCAACCCACTCAAGCCCCAGCTGGTTGCTGTATTTGGTGGAGCTGACCTTAAACAACGCCAAGGAACCTCGCGTAGAAGACCCCCAGCTAAGAAAAAGACATCGGATGCTTCTCCAACAGCCTGAGGCTCAGGCTCCTGGGCAGGGAGTTCCCTTCGTGTACCGGGAGGACGAAATGTTTAAATGGATGAACATTACAAGCCCCAGCTCCTCAAACCTGGCTGCTCTTCCACCTCTCTATCCCCATATGGGTTGAGCTTTTTATCTTTTTCTTTTTCTTTTTTTTTATGGCAGATGTCTTTCCATCAGCATCCCAGCTGTGGCTGGGGAAGCTTTGGGAAGTGTGTTTGGCTCACTCCGAGAGAACGAGGTCCCATGAGGAGGTGTGTCTGGCTTGCAAAGATGTCTCCGGCCCTGGACAGGACCCCGCTCTGTTCTGCAGCCCTCGATGCGGTGGGTGAGTGAGGCCTTCCTCTCCTGTCTCTGCTTTCCTCATTGCCTGGTGATGCTGTCTGGCTGCCCGTGAGGCTGGAGCAAATCCTGGGACGTGTTGAAATCCTCCAGGGCAGCCAGCAGGAGAGTCCAGCCAGCCTGCGTCTCAGGTGCGGTGGCCACGCGTTCCACTGCAGCGTTTCAGGAGCTGACTTTCCTCTGGGTGGCTGCAGGTCTGACTTCTGTCACTTCCGGACTCTAATTTTGTCGTTAGTATGAAAAGGTTCCTCTCAAGTTGCCCAAAAGCATTTTCCTTAGGTTTCTACCATCCCCTGTCCCCTTCATGCCCAGCCCCACCCCCTCCCGTGCCCGGGGCCTCTGGGGAGGTCCCCTCAACCCCTGTCCAGTGCCAGGGGCCGACCTATCTGCGGAAGCCGAAGCCGTCCTGCGGCGTCTTTGGGCCCTTCTTGCCTTCCCTCAGGGGCTTGGGGGAAGGCATCTCCACCGTGCCCCCATAGGGACAGCTCTCCGAGCCTGGATGGTGGCCGGTGCACTCCACCGCGGGCATATAGCCGCTGTCCCACATGCCTGTCCCGCACAGCTTACACAGATCGTGCAGGCTGCAGGGGATCCGGGGCAGGAGGCGGAACTGGTACAGCAAACTCCTCGCCTGCAGAGAGAGGATGGGGGTGAGGAGGGGCCGGGGGACAGCCTGGCAGCCTAGGGTCCCCATGGGAGTGGCCAACAAAGAGCAACAGCAGCAACGGCCTGCACCTCGGGGGCTCATTGAGTCCTGGGCTGAGGGCTCTGCCTGCATCTCCCACCATCACTGGCACCACGGGCCCTGGGTCTTAGGTGGCTGCAGTGACAGGACCCACAAGGCGCTTCGGCTGTGCTCACAGGTGGCTCAAGGTGAGGAAGGTCCCTGAAAGGGCTTCATCGGGAGGGTGAACAGGACCAACACCAGCCAGGGCCGGGCCGCGCCCAGCCAAGCCCACCTGTCCCTTCGGCAGCACGCCTCTCTTTCCCCCCGCACCTTGCTCTGCACCGCCCCCCACCCGAGCAGCCTCTCAGCTCCTGTAGCATCTGCGTCCTGTGCCGGGGGGCACCACTGACCTCAGGACGCCCCCTCACTGCCCTGAGGACAACCACAGAGCTAACAGGCAGCATCTCCAGGAGGAGTCTGGGAAATGGGGGAGGGGGCCAAAGCCCAAGGCCTCCAGTATTCTGGCTACCCTGCCCCTGGGTCCAGCCTCCTCCTCAGGGTTCCTAGCTCTGGGTTGTACCTGTCCTGTCCGTCAGCCCCGGGGAATCCGTTCCCTCCTCGGCCAGCAAGGGAGGCTCCTGTGTCAGGGCTGGCACCCCAGGACAGTGAGGGGACAGCCGAGGTGACACAGCCAGGCCAAGACAAGTGCCGACTGCGAGGCCTTGGCAAGGAGCCCCCAGTGCTACGGGTGGGGGCAGGGCACGTGCTGGGGGGCCATGGTGGGGATGGGGCTCTGGGGGCGGAGCCCACATCTGGGGCAGCCTCACCTTCCTGAGAATGAGCCGGTGGGGATGGGGCTCTGGGGGCGGGGCCCATGTCTGGGGCAGCATCACCTTCCTGAGAACTAACCGCTGGCACTGGGGCTCTGGAGGCAGGGTGGGGCAGGGCCCACGTCTGGGGCAGCCTCACCTTCCGGAGAACGAGCTCCCCGTTCATATGCATGGCCAGGTTTCCGAAGTGCAGGAGCATCTGGTCCGTGGCCAGCTGCTGCTCGATGACATCATCCCCGTAGATGGCCACGATGGCCACGCAGATGAAAAGGTGGAAGTAGTCGGTCTGGGGAGGGGGGTAGAGTTCAGACACGGGCTCTGACTGAGCCCCAGGCCCTGCACTCAGGAGGAAACTGACTGCCAGGGTGCGAGCGAGGGCTCCAGGGCGAGGTGTCGGGGCTCACAGCCCAGCTCGGGGGCCGTGTGGCCCTGGGCCAGCTGCATCGCCTCTTCGGCCCTAAGTTTCCCCACCCGCACACGGGGTCCATCCCAGTACCCGCATGCCCAGGCTGCTGTGACATCCACAGGGGACGACGCTGAGCTCAGCCCCACGGGCTGCTGCTGCTCTCCTGGGGGGCAATGTGGGTGGTCTCCATGACGGGGGCGGGGGCGGGGGGGGGTGCCTTCCTCAGAAGGCCTGGCCTGCGTTTATGGGGAGGACTCATTTGTAACGGTCCTGAGCAACGGTGTGTGTGGAAGGCTGGGTCAGAACTCACTCCAGTGGCTCGTGGAATGTGCCTCTGGCAGCCAGCCACGGGTCAGCCTATCCTCCTGGCTCCAGGCCACACCCCCCAAATCATGCCCCAGAGACGACTCTAGGGTTTGCGGCTAGAAAAGTGGGAAGATCCTAACAGAGCGGGCACAGCAGCTCACCCATGGCGTGGCTGAAATGATCGCGCTGTCCTTGAGCCTCTTTTTGGGCGCCCTTTGAGGACTCCGCAGCCCTCCCTTTAAAGACCGCCCCACGGGGCCTGCCAGCAATGCGCTGTGCACAGCAGGAAGCCCACGCCGGGTCCTGACGGCTGCATCCTGTGTGCTCTCCGGCCTGGACGCCTCAAGGCACGCCACCTTTGATGCACACGCACTTCCGGAGGCACAGGAAGGACGGGGGCACTGGGAAGTCCATGTTTAGTCTCCTGACGTCGACCACACAAACCAGACGGAACGGTGTCCCCAGCCCAGGCTGAGCAGAGCACACCATGAGGGCAGAGGCTATAGGCAACTCCCACGCCCCAGCCTGCTCCTGGAGAGACCATGCACCAGGCTGCCCGGCTGCTTCCTCTGAACTAATCTGGGACGGTCTTGTTTTGGCTCTGACGGATCCTTTTGCAGCGATTTGAACTGTGGCTGGTGCGAGACACAGTGGAGGGGTTGCAGGAAGGTGGACGCCCAGCTTCTCTGGGAGAGGAATGTGGGGAGGGAGAGGGAGGGCACGATCTCCACAGCCTGTACAGTATAGGCAGATTTCAGTTCCCAGGACAGGCAGGGCGTAGGGCCGTCCAGCCCCACCACACGCTGGCAGCGGATGGATAGCATCAAAGGCCTTTTCTCGCTCAGGGGTCACTGAACAGTTAAAGACCTCACCTGGCGGCAACCTTCCCATTCCACAGAGCTCACTCCCAGCTCACTGGCAGCCCATGCCCACCCCGTAAGACTACCAAATTGATCGAGGGATGGGACCGACCGTGGCTAAATCGAGCCCACAGTCTGAAAACAACAGAAATGTGCTTTGTGGATTCCAACAAAACAGCAGCCAACAGAGATCCCACCTCACATGGGCCTCCCGCTGGAATTCCAACTAGATCTCATTACACTCGGGACATAGTAGGTGCCCGTGGGAAAGGGCCCTGTCTGCTGGGCCACGCCCTGAGTTCACATGTGACATCAGCCTGAACATAAAGGAATGAGGGCGGCAAATTTGCCACTGGGAAAATATGCAATGAGGCACGATTTTTTTCTCTGGGGGTGGTGGGAATGAAGCGTCTCAGACCATCCATGCCGTGCTTCCCTTTATTAATGCAGACCGTCCACCCTGCACGTCCACGTCCAGCAGGCTAAGCCAGGAAGGAAACCTAGACCCGGGCCAGGGCGAGCCAACGAATGCATGCAAAGGCGGCGTGTGGCACCGGCACTCCGTGGCTTCAGACTCTCTCTCATCAGACATCAGCCCCCTGCAGTGTGAGTGAGGACGGGAGACGCTGACGCAAGTGTCTTCCAGCAGATAGGTGTTTACCTGCATCTTCAGGGTTCTCTGATGGAGGCTGCTGGAGCTGCCGTGGTGGATGGAGCCTGCTCCTGCAAAAGGGTCCAGCCCTCCTGGATGTGTCAATGTGAGTTTTTTTTTTTAAAGGCTGATGGATTCAAAGAGACTTGCTTATCTTTTGACATCTCCAGCTTGTCCCTAATTTGGGCGTTAACGCCATGTGACAGAGCCAGTGCTGTGCTCCAAAGGGAATTTGCTGAGAAGATGCTGGTGATGGTGGACGGAGAGAGGAAGTCGGTATCACTGATTGGAGCCCTCTGGAGGGGCCGACAGGGAAGTGGGAATCTCAGGCCCTTTCTCTGCACAGGAGGGTGATGGGTGAGTTGGCCCTCGTCCCTCGTGGCAGGGCAGTCCCGAGGGGGCAGGGCGGTGCTGGCTTACGCTCCTGGGTACCGGCATCCTGGGCTGCTGTGGTCTAGCGTAGGCCCCCGACAGTGTCACTCACACTGATTGGTTGTGACAGGAGGGAGCTCAGCCCCAGAAAGTGGTAATGAGTGCAGTCAGCGGGCAATTTGCATCGATTTCAGTGACTGGGGAGGCGAGCTGCAAGGTCTGAAGCCAGCCACGTGGGACGGGAAGGCGGTCGCCATATGGGGGACTAATGTGTGGCTGTGGTTGGGGGGCGGCGAGGCGGCCAGGGGCAGCAGGCAGGGTGGCCACGGTGGTTCAGGGGCCATGGTCCCAACCTCCCCGGCCCTGGCCCCTGCCCTGGCTCACCTGGTAGTAAACCCAGCAGGCCTCCTGGCCCCTGCCCTAGCTCACCTGGTAGTGGGCCCAGCAGGCTTCCCAGATCCGCAGCGCTTCAGCCTCGGGGAACTCCCGCTTGAAGCACAGCAGGAGCCAGCGGTGGCAGAAGAGCATCTGCAGGCCGTCCTCACCCAGCGAGACCAGGTGCTGGTAGAAGCGCACGTGTGTCAGCCGCAGCAGCTCCCGAAGGTATAGCTGGGGGCGAGGCCAGCATGGGTTAGTTAGCCCTAGTCCCATGCAAGCCTGTTGCCCAGGGAGCCCACTCCCACTGGGGCCCTTCCCCGGGCCACCCCAACCTGGAAAAGCACAGCCAGGGGCCTCTACCTGCTGCACATGCCTGCCCCCCAGTGCTTTATTCCACCACTGGAATTGGTTCACACCTGCCTCTGCCAGTTCCTCCCAGATTTGACTGTTCCGGAGGCTGTGGCATGGCCCAGAGTGAGGCAGAGCATTGTTCCCTGGAGTGGCTGGATGCTGGGCAGCCGCTCCATGGCCAGGAAGGCTCCCCACTCTCAGTGGACACTTGGGGGCTGTTTCCCACATCCACCCCTCCTGGTGAGGTGAGTGGATCATCCAGGGAGCGCCCCCACCCCTCTTCAGCTATGCTCACCCAGATCTTTCATCTTCCAGAGCTGATTTAGGGCAGGAAGGGGACGTGTCTGAGCCCCAGGATGCTCGATTCCTGCCATTAAGGTCACCTCCCAGTGACATGGAACAAGATTGGGGCTATTTCTGGCAGCACCCGGGCCCAGGCCACTGACTTCATCAATGTCGCTGGAAAATCAATCTCCAGCAGTCAATGAGTCACCCGGCCATGTGCTGCCATGAGCCGTCAGGGGCGAATGGCGTTGGACACTGTAACTGCCTCCCCAGGCAATGTGGACGCCTGACGTCACACCCACCCGTTGATGCAGAGTGAGCAGGCTCGGCTGGGGTCAGCCCCCCGGCCCAGGTGGAGTTAGATCACAGCTGGGGGGATCCTGGGGCAGGGCTCAGGGCCACATGCCCCCTTCCCACACAGGTGGCCCATTGTTCCCATGGGAGACTGCGCTGAAGATGTGCGGCCAGCCGTCCGCCCTGTGGCCTGCAGCCGGGTCAAGCCCACCCATGTGGATGACCCCCTTGCAGACGCTCCACTCCCACCCCCTGTGCAGGTGCCTGCACCTCCCTGCTTGGGCTTCTTTGCCTTCAAATTCTCTCTGTTGGCTTCAACCCTCCCAGCCTGCCATCAACAACCCACTAATAGTCAGTCTACAGCAGTGGTCCCCAACCTTTTTGGCACTAGGAACCCGTTTCCTGGAAGACAATTTTTCCACAGACAAGGTAGTGTGAATGGTTTCGGGTTGAAACTGCTCCCCCTCATATCATCAGGCATTAGATTCTCATAAGCATCGCACAACCTAGATCCCTCACACGCGCAGTTCACAAAGGGTTCGTGGGTTCGAGCTTCTGTGGGAATCTAATGTGGCCGCTGATCGGATGGGAGGTGGAGCCCAGGCGGGGATGCTCGCTGGCCCGTCCTCCGCTCACTTCCTGCTGTGCGGCCGGTTCCTAACAGCCCACCGACCGGCGCCAGTCCCGGACCTGGGAGCGGGCATCCCATTCTATGAGACATGCTCAGTGGCCTGGGGGTGGGGACCCCCGTTCTGAGACATGCTCGGTGGCCTGGGGGTGGGGACCCCCGTTCTATAAGACACACTCTGTGTGCTGGGGCGGGGACCCCCATTCTGAGACACGCTCAGTGTGCTGGGGCGGGGACCCCCATTCTGAGACACGCTCTGTGGCCGCGCAGTGGGGACCCTCGTTCTATGAGACACACCCTGTGGCCCTGGCCTTCAAGGCCCTCCATCAGCTCCTCCCTCACTACTGGTCCAGGAAGACCGGGTCACTCAGTCCCACCACTAGGACTGCTCTGCTCAGCCCAGCCTTAGTGACACTCAGGGCCAGACCCCACACACCCTGGAGCTGTCCCTAGTGCAGAAGCCATCTTGTCCTTATCACGGGCGCCTCCTGCAGTGTCCCCAACACCCAGCGTCCTCTGCTCACAATGCCAGCTTCCTGGCCCAGCCAGGAGGGTGAATGTCTGGTGACTGCACCCGGCAGGTACTTGGTAGACATGGGTGATGCGTGCTGAGAACAGTGAGCAGGTGCCCTGGCTCAGTCCCACACACTGGCCCTCTGGTGCTGCCTTACCCAGCTGGGCTCAGCCCCACCACCGACATTCAGTGCTTCCTGGTCTACATAGGGCTGGTCCTTTTAAAGAGGCCTTGATGGGAGACGTGACAGCTGGGCACCCCAGGGAAGGGGTGGGGTGTGAGGACTGCCCCGGAGACCTCAGGGAGTTTCAGGAGCCCCTCCTCTTCCTGTCCGCACTCAGAAGCCCTGGCTGTGTTGACTTCTGCGGGGAGCAGCTTAGACACACCTGAGGACCCATTTCCTAAAGCTCAGAGGGGGCTGGGTGTGATGGTGCCTCCCCTTCCTTGCCAGCCAGGGAGCTTGGGCCAGGTTGTCACATGCAGGGGTGGGAGGCCACCAGGGTAGCCCACACAACACAGCCTCTGGACCTGCAGGGAGTCAGGGGGCCAGCCCCGGAGATCCAGGGCTAAGTCACCCATATCCCACAGGCAAGTCCTATCCTGGCGTTTTCGCTGCCCACTGACCTATAGCAGCCAAGCCACGCGTCACCACGGCAACCCTGGCTGCAAGGGGAGAGGCAGCATGGGCCCTCACATGCCCTCGGAGGTACCCATCCTCTGAGCCTCACCAGTTGTTTCTCCATGTCCTCGTCCCGAGGGGAGCTGACAAAGATTGTGTTCTGCATCAAACCCACAAAGCACCAGAAGGTGTCTGATTCATCCAGGACCTCGGCCAAGATGGGCGCCACCAGGTCCGACATCCCCTGGGAATAGCCGACGGCAGGGTTGTACACGGCATAGTTCAGTAAGATCCTCCTGGGAGACAGCGGAGACGGCAGTAAGTGGGGATGACCCTCACCACAGCACACTGCCCAGCCCACAGAACCCTGAGCTGGAGACCCCGCCTTCCCTCACTTGCCTTCATCTCAGTGGAAGGCAGCTCTGCCATCATTTCAGAGCCCAAGCTTAGGTTCCAGACACACAGACCCTTGCTTTGCAAAAGGTAATGGCCTGGCTGGGCATGGTGACTCATGCCTATAATCCCAGCACTTTGGGAGGCCGAGGTGGGCAGATCACCTGAGGTCAGGAGTTCGACACTAGCCTGGCAAAAACATGGTGAAACCCTGTCTCTACTAAAAATACAAAACTTAGCCAGGCATGATGGGGTGCACGCCTGTAATCTCAACTACTAGGTAGGCTGAGACAGGAGAATAGGTTGAACCCGGGAAGTGGAGGTTGCAGTGAGCCGAGATCACATCACTGCACTCCAGTCTGGGTAACAGAGCAAGACTCTGTCTCAAAAAAAAAAAAAAAAGAAAAAAAGTAATGGCCTGCTATTAGCTGCTGTCTAGGCCCAGAACCTTGAGAGCAGGGGTAAGGGGGAACATGGGTCTGATTTTCTGAAGGGTGGACTGCCTGTGACAAGGGGTGGGCTGGCAGGGACATTTCTGTGGGCTGCTAATTTTGTGCAATTATTTGCTAGGCTGCAGCAGAATGTCAGAGATGCCAGCCTCTGGCTCTGTGCGGCTGTATGACTGCAGGACCACCCACGGGGAGATGGAGGGGGTGCATGGGGAAGCGGGTCCATGGTTGGTGTGAACCAAGCAAGGACACGCTTGGTGGTGCCCAGGGGATAGAGGGGCTCTGCGGGCCCCACTGGCAGGGACCTGGGTGGCTTCCCTGGGATGCCACGGCTCTGAGATGCCAACCGAGGTAGCCCATGAGTAGCGCATCCTTCACTTCTGGGGCTTTGACGTATGAACCTGGAGGAGAGCCCCTGCAGAAAGTCGCTGGGGGCTCATCCACTTCCCAGGGCGGTCAGGTGAGACTTGCAGACTTGCGGGTGGCTGGGGAGGGAGTACCTCATGCTCTCCACGTTGGGATTGTCTTCCCCTCGGAAGAACTGGTTGTTCCGATCGGTCCGGACCACGTCTTTGTCCACAGTGAACTGCACATTGCGCCAGAATGCTCTGTGCTCCTCAGGGGTCATGGAGAGCCTGTGTGGAGCCAACCACCGAGTCGGGTCAGCGGGTGGCAGCCGGAGGCATCGTGTGGTGCACACATTCCAGGAAGCCACGCTTCCTCCCAACCCCCGTTCCCTGGATGGGAGCTGGGTGGCTGCTGCCGGCTGCAGACCCTCCCCGATGAGGCGGATGGGTGGCATGTATCCAAGGCTCTCCCTGATATTAACTCCGCCTCACAGGCTCCAGCGTCCCAGAGAGAAGAACAAGTTGCAGCCTAATGGGTAATGAGGTCTTGGCCCTGGCCCAGTGTTCTGGAGGGGAGCTGAGCACAGCCCAGTGGCTTCACCCAGTCCCAGCCTCCTGGAGAGAGAGCTGACCCCAGCTCTGGGTTAGCAGAGCCCAGGTGGGGCAGAGTCTCCAGATGCCTTCACCCCTCCAGGCCCTGCTCCCAGCCCCAGCCTTCAGCTGTGGGACGTCAGCGCCTAGTTAAGTCTGTTGAACGAGAATTCTAAAACCTTGACATGTGAGCTAACGAGCCCCACAGTTCCGAGGCCCGAGTGCTTGGTTTAATGACTGCACTTATCCCACCCTATCACTCACGTTCCTGGGAGACCCATTTCTGAAAGAAACTATGGGTCACGAAACATATTATCAATGCTGAATTGCACCTCAAATTGCCTTTTCAAATGACATTTTCCTCTGCGGCTCGGCGGGGTGGGCCGGGCTGGCCCCGGCGGTTACCTTTTCTGCTGGATCTCAGAGTACTCCTTTCGCTTCTGCAGCCGCAGCGCCTCCCGCTCCTCCGACGTGGACTCGTGGCTGTAATAGCGCAGCAGGAAGGGCCAGACCTCCCCCCGGATTGACACATCAATGCCGCCAAAGAAAATGGCCTGGAGGAAGCGGCAAAAGTTGGGGAGGGGATAAAACAGGGCAGCTCAAAGAACCCCCAAATCCCCAGAGATGTGTGTTTTGGTGGCTTTGGCGCGCCTGGATTCAGATCTCTGCAATTTGCACATATTTACAAGGGGAAAGCAGTGGTCTTCAATTCCCATACAGGACACAAACCCGGCTCATTTCAATGTCAATGCCCCCCCTGGGGTGGCGCTCAGATTAACGTGTCGTTCTCACGTCATGGCCTAATCCCTGGTTTTGGAAACGCTGCATTTCACTGCAAACCCTTCTATGCAGGCTGACACGGTATCCCCCCAAACCCTCGAGGGAGGTTTTTTTTGTTTTGTTTTTTTTTTTTTCAACGCAGCAGCTTTGATTGCTTTATCGGAGTGTTCACAGAGAGCCTCACACAAGAAAACGGGGCTCTCCCAAGGAGGTGGCCCGTGGGTGCGGGCGGGCGGCCAGACCCTGGCCTCCTTCCCTCTTGCTCGTTCCCGGTTCCCGGCCGGCTCTCCACGGGGCCAGCGGGGAGGGCTCAGACCTCACCTTCCGCAGCTTGTACTCCTCCTCCACCTGGCCCAGCTCGTTCAGGTGGTTGAGCCAGGCAGAGACGCCGAGCCTCTTGTACATGCTCTCCTCGGGGTGCGTCTCGGAGGACGGCAGTTTGGGGCGGCGGATGGAGAACTGCATGCATGTCTTATCAGGGGCGACCTGCTAAACGGGAGGAAAACTGGGCAAAGGTCAGGATCTCAGCCGTGCGGCTTCAGAGGCCAGCGGTGCTTTTCCCAGGATTAAAAGCCTCTCTCTCTTCTGAAAGGAGGGCAAGGGCCATCCCTTGCATACAAACCCCTAAATGGCGAGTGTAATTAGGCGCAATTAAAATGAAAATACCTTCATCTTAAAATCGGTTTCCCTCTGCGGCTCTCTCCTCCCCGGCCCACTGTGCCGCCGCCCCCCACTCTCTCCAACCCCAGCCGCAAAAACGGAATTAATGCCTCGTTCGGCCTAACTTCCCTCTGCCGGGAGGGCCTGCAATGAATTACATGTGATTGGCCACATACAAAGGAATCGCTGTCCTGCGAGCAGGGAGCCAGCCTGTCAGATTGTCTCCGCGAGCAGTCACGAATCCAGGGCAAAACTGCAGCTGACATTTAATTCAAAAATCAAAGGTTGTTCAATGTAGGGGGGAAAAAAGCCGTGCTACTGTAATAAGGGAAGCCAGCAGGAGGCTCTGTGGGAAGGAAGGGAATTTTAAAGTCAGCCCTGTTTCTAATAAGCACATACAGTATCTTAAACAGATAATTAAAGAGCTCTTATTACATTTGTACGCAGATTGAGCAAAATATGGCAGGAAGTCTTGTCAAAACACGATTTTTCAAGTGCAGGGCACTGACGTTACAGAAAGCCCTGGGCACAGGTTTCAAACCTGAAGTTGCTGCTCTGAAGGCCGAAAGCTACCGTGGGTCACACCCCGTAAGCCCCCGGGCCCCGGAACCCAACACGGGACCCAGGAGGGAGACGGGGCCCGTGGGGGGTGGGAAGTATCAACCGCGGGGCGTCTGGGGCGGTCTGCTGGGCTACCTGGTCTTTGAGCTGCATCTCGGTGCAGTATTTCCACTGCTGGAACACGTCGGACAGCTTGTCCAGGCCACCGTGGTGGAAGTGGAAGACCTTGTACTGGCTCTCTCGGCTGGCGACGACCAGCTGGCCGCTGGTGCAGGCCTCGTCGCTGAAGGGCCATTGGAGAGGGGAGAGGAAAGCCCGATGAATATGTAAACACGGGGGTTTTATTTCCAAGTATAATCAGAGGCCACTGTCGCCAACCTCAGGAGCAGGAAACAGTGGGTCCCGGTGGGGTTGGCTGCTGGCGGGAGGGGACAGAACTACACGGAACAAAAACCGTCACCCCCTTTGCTGAAGATGGCAAAACTCCTTTCTGGGGGGCCCTGGGGCTCCTCTCCGGAGACCTGCCAGAGCGACCTTCTCACCACCACCACCTGCCCAGCTACATGGTCCCTGCAGTCCGGGAGACCTGGGTCCCAGTGCTGAGTGCCCTGGAATCCAGTTTTGAGCCCCGGTGGGCCATGTGCTAAGAGAACCTCCTGGGAACAGACCTCCTTCGTTGCGTGTGGGTGGAACTCTGGGAGAACCCTCCAGGGAAACTCACTAAACATCCGTCAGTGCTGTCAGCCCAACCCCGGCTGCCCTTAGATGAAAGGCTGGAATGTGGCTCTGGGTCTGGGAACCCCCCCAGCTTCTGGACACGCCGGCTTCTTCTAAGCCCGGGCCTCTTATTGGTGCTGTCTGCGGCTGGGCAGCCCTGACTAGAAGGAGGAGGATCTGATGTGGGGAATGACTGCAGGAAACTAGGCATCGCCCACCCATCACGAAAGGAAGGGAGCCTCCATCCGGAAGGCTGCGGCCCGTCCCGCACAGGTGGCCGAGCTCCAGAGCTTCTCCCGGGGATCACAGAGGCCTGCAGCTGCTACCCTCCGCCCTGGTTTGGTTTCTTCTCCCAAGCCAGAGTTGCAAGCAGTCGCTGGCTACCATCACGCTGAAGGTAGGGGAATGAGTTCGGTAGCTCACCTGGCCTGAGAACTGCCAGGGAGCCGCGGTGGGGAACCGCTGCCCGCAAGATCAGTGAGGGAGGAAGGCAGACGCTTGGGAAGACTCCATCCAGGGCCCTGCGTCCCCACGCCGTGCACTGCACCGGCCACAAAGCACAGGCTGCCAGGGAAAGCAAGCACACACAGACCAACTCCCAGGAGGCGCCCAGAGATGCTTCCTACCTGAAGAAAAGGCGGAGGGAGCGCATGTGGCCCAGGTCCACGCGGAACACGCCACAGATCTGCTCTAGGGCGCACACCCGCTGCGGCTCGTCCCAGCGCGGGGTCTGCAGGAGGCCGTTGCTGTCCGGGAACCGCAGGCCGGTGTCGGAGCTGGATGGGGGGCTGGTGGAACAGGTCATGTGATGATGGCCACACATCACCCTGCCCACACCACCCAGAGGGGGACAGGGGGCATGGGGAAAGTCATTTAAACCTACGCAACAAGCTTAAACACACATACAGGCACGACTGAATATGCCCTGTAAACATCTGTGAATGAAGGCATGTATGAACCCCACTGCACAGTGCTACTTCCACTTGGATGGGAAAGCATTTTCATGATCAAATTCCATTCCACTTCAATAGAGGCAGTACGTCGTCATCGTCCTGAGAGCCAAGATCACATTGACTGAGGTTCCTCGCTGGGTGACCTTGGCCAAGCCACCAAGCCTCTCTCAGCCTTCGTTTCCCCATGGGTAAAAGGAGGAGAATAGCAAGGTTTGGTTTCCCTACAGCATGGGGCTGAGCTTTACTGAAAGTAGCTGTTTTGTGATGATTTTAGATAGCATGGGGCTTCTGCCGTGGTTTAAACCAGCTCATTGTTCTCCTGAAAAGTACTGGTTCAGTTTACGCTTTGGTTAGGAAACATTTGGGTTTTCAGTACTATTAATAACGTCATGAGCATTTATGAAAACACTGACTATGGGCCTAGCCCTGAGCTAATGCTTCTCAGGTGCTTTTATTGCATTTAATCTTCACAAAAATCCTCTGAAATGAATAGTGGTATTACCCCATTATAAAGAAGAGGCAACTGAAGCCCAGAGAGGTTAAGTAACTTGCCCAAGGTCACACAGCTGGCAAGTGGTGGAGCAGAGATTAGAACCCAAGCTTTGTGGCCCATGTTCTCACCAGCATATTGTGTAGCTGTCTGCAGTTCAGCAGGACAACCCCATTTATTCTGTTATTTTTTATGAGTTTGTTACATTCCAAATTGCTAAATATTTTATTATACGGATTCAGCCACATCACAGGTTAAATCCTGTCTCTTGAGATTTTTTCTTCTCTTTTTTCTTTTTTTTTTTTTGAGACAGAGTCTCGCTCTGTCACCCAGGCTGGAGTGCAGTGGCGCAATCTCGGCTCACTTCAACCTCTGCTTTCCAGGTTCAAGTGATTCTCCTGCCTCAGCCTCCCGAGTAGCAGTTACAGGCGTCTGCCACCATAACTGGCTAATTTTACATTTTTAGTACAGACGGGGTTTCACCATGTTGACCAGGCTTGTCTTGACCGCCTGACATCAGGTGATCTGCCCACCTCGGCCTCCCAGAGTGCTGGGATTACAGGCGTGAGCCATCGTGCCCAACCCTCTCTTGAGATTTAATAGTAATGTTTAGCAAATGCCTGCTAAAATAAAACCAGAGTAAAGGCAAGACTCAGTTCTGGACCCCAACTGCAGCGTCCCACAGAGACTCAGCTGTATTCACTGCTCCTGCTTCCTGTTTGAGCTCAGAACATAAAGTGTTGGAGGCCATCAATCCAGAGGCACTTCCTCCTCCAAGAAGCACCAGGTCTAAGTAAATAAAGCTCCTTCGGAGGGTTCCAGCACAATCCCTCCCCACTTGGAACTTCAAAGAGAGAAACCTGACTGGCCTTTCTAGAACCCTCTACTGCGTCAGGCATAGCCCTGGGCCTGGCGAGTGGAAGGCGGCCTTTCTTCCTTACCTGCCTAAGGAAGTCAGCTGAGCAGGCCCTCCCACTGCTGGGGTCCCTGGGCTCTCAAGGAAACGGAGTCAGGTAAAACCAGATCAGAGATGGGCACATGCGCCCATCACCCGAACTGCCGTGGCTGTGCCATGGACGGGCCCAGAAGGCCGAGGGCTCCCGAAATCTTCTCAAGCTGACCTCTGACCCTGTGGGAGCTGTGCTTCGGAATCGTTGCTCACAACACAGGGCAGGTCTCGGGTCTGAGGCCCCACCGCACCCATGGGTGCCCCCTTTCATCATCTGCTCCCTGAACCACGGGGCTGCTGTGGCTGGGAGAGCTGCTGCCCCGCGTGCTGCCCGCCGGCCTGACCCACCGGCTGGGGCCGTTAGAGGGTGGTATCCTTCCCAGCCTCCTCCCCCAGCCTTCTTACCACACCCAACGGCAGAATGCCCTGAACCTGCACGTCCCTCCCAGCACACTGTGTCCCCCTCACCGTACGGGGCAGGCCAAGGTTCCCAGAAACCAGAGAGAACACAGACTCGCTTTGGCAGTCACGGGTGGAAGGCCCCCTTCCCTGCTGCTGTGGCCAGAGAAGACTGGTCCCCTGGAGGGCCAGAGCCGATTTCAAATCAGATAAGAGTCCCGGACACAGGGGCCACCGCACACCTCCCCCAGCAACATGCCTCCGGGCAGAAGTTGGCTTAAATCCTCTCACAACCCCTTAGGGGCAAATTATTTGCACTAATTAATTGATTGATTCATTAATTCAAGACACTGTGCTTGGGACCTACAGCTGGGTTCCACAGGCTCCAGCTAGAGCGAAGGTGATGGAGACCTCAGTTCGCTTTAATTGGGGTATGTCTGGCAGGTACCCTGTGTGGTCATGGAGGACGAGGTCTGGTGCCCCTCAAGGCTGCTGTGGAGTGGGGGTTGCATTGTGTCTCTTCATCTTCAGCTCCTGGCCCTGGCTTGGCACAGAACACACAGCCATTTAATAGTCATGCCTGAAGTGAAAATGTAAAGTGTCTGGGAATTTTGAAGTCATAGAAAAAAATGTTTAAAGAAAATAAACTACAGGGAAAATGAAATACATAAAGTGTTTTATTTTTGCTTATCTTTCTACACACGTAAAGCAATTTGGTTTTAAGAATATTCATATATGCTGCAAATAATTTAGCTTGTTCATAAAATTATGTGATGCATTAAAACCGAAAGGATGGGTTTTGCAGGCAATAACTCCCAAGATGCTATTACGTTAAAAATATCTCATACATAAAACTAGAAGATGCTAAACTTTAAGAAATGTAGCAGTTCTTCATTTCTGTCATTTTCTGAAGACCACCAAAATGTAAAAGCAATAATGAAAAAAAGTCAGCAATATCACTGGAAAACACAAAAACTGGGTTCTCTCTCCACCACAGTAAATTACGCCACGTCAGACACAGGGATAGAGATTTGAAATGGCCTCAAATTCTTCACAGCTCATCTTATCAAGGATAGCACCTGTCTCTCCACCCCTGAATCTAGGTGGGCCTTTTTTGACCGATAGTATGTAGCAAACATGATGTTAGGCGAGTTCTGGGGCCTGGGCAGCCCCTCGCTCTCCCTCTTGGCACAGGCAAGACAGACAGACAAGAGTTCATGAGAGACACATGCAACTGGCAGTCAGCACCGGAGCCCCGACACCTGTCAACAGAGGCCACTCCAGACCCTCCACCCAACCAAGCCTCCTGGTGGCTGCAGCGACCTGAGTGAACTCCAGGGAGTCCCAGCCCAGCCCAAACCAAAGCCCTGTGAGCAAAGAAGCGGTTTTTTGTTTGTTTGTTTTTTAAAGACAAGGTCTCTCTCTATCCCCCTGGCTGAAGTGCGGTGGCACAAACACAACTCACTGCAGCCTCAACCTCCCAAGTAGCTGGGACTACCGGCACTCACCACCACACTCGGCTAATTTTTGTATTTTTTATAGAGACGGGGTTTTGCCATGTTGCCCAGGCTGGTCTCAAACTCCTGAGTTCAAGCGATCCGTCCGCCTTGGCCTCCCAAAGTGCTGGGACTACAGGTGTGAGCCCCTGCACCGGGCCCGGTGGTTACTTTAAGTTGCTAAGTTTGAGGGTGATTTGTTCCACAGCAATAGATTACTGACACACGCAGGACAGGCCAGCTCTCAGAAAAAGCTTGCGGGGGAGGAAGAAACCTTCAAACATATTGAGCTGTGGTTCTCAAGGTTAGAGACACCAGGGCCAGACTTTAGCATTATTTAAAATACCTAAACTGCTAACTTTCCTCTTGCTTTTCTTTGTCCTGAGCCTTTTGAGTTTGCTGAACAAAAAGTCGATGGGAACCCAGCTGTAGGTCCCAAGCACAGTGTCCTGAATTAATGAATCAATCAATTAATTAATGCATCAATCAATTAATTAATGCAAATAATTTGCCCCTAAGGGGTTGTGAGAGGGTTTAAGCCAACTTCTGCCCGGAGGCACGTTGCTGGGGGAGGTGTGCGGTGGCCCCTGTATCCGGGACTCTTGCCTGGATAGAAATTGGCGCTGACCCTCCAGGGGACCAGCCTTCTCCGGCCACAGCAGCAGAGAGGGCGCCTTCCACCCGTGACTGCCAAAGCGAGTCTCTGTGTTCTGTCTGGTTTGTGGAAATTTTGGCATGCCCCGTTCAGTGAGCGGGACACAGTATGCTGGGAGGGACTTGTAGGTATTGGAGGAGTGGGCAGGGTGTGCTTGGTGTGCTGGGTTGGGAGAGGAGGCTGTGATGGGAGAGGAGGCTGTGATGGGAGAGGAGGCTGTGATGGGAGAGGAGGCTGGGTTGGGAGAGGAGGCTGTGATGGGAGAGGAGGCTGTGATGGGAGAGGAGGCTGTGATGGGAGAGGAGGCTGGAAAGAATGACACCCTTTGGTGGTTCCCCATAATTGCCAAAACCTGGAAACCACCAAGATGTCCTTTGGTGGTAAATGGATAAATAAGCTTAAATAACTGTGGTACAGCCAGACGAGGGAATATATTACTCATCATTAAAAAGAAATGAGCTGTCAAGCTGTGAAACAACACGGAGGGAGCTTCGACGGATCTTACGAAGGGGTTTACTAAGCGAAGGGACCCAGTGTGACGAGGCTGCACCCTGTGGGATTCCAATTCTAGGACACTCTGGAAAAGGCAAAACCATGGAGACAGTGACAAGATCAGTGGTTGCCAGGAGCTGGTGGGGAGGTAGGAAGGTGAAGCACGGAGAACTTTTAGGGCAGTGACACACCGGTATGACACCAGAGTGGTCACGGTGACATGTGTCATTATACATTTGTCCAGACCCATAGGACGTACAAGATGGAGTGTGAATGTCGACATAAACTATGGACTCTGGGTGACAATGACGTATGGGCTTGTGAGTTGTAACACGAGTCCCACTCTGGTTGGGG